GGTGGATCACCTGAGGTCAGGAGTTTGAGACCAGCCTGGCCAACATGGTGAAACCCTGTCTCTACTAAAAACACAAAAATTAGCCAAGCATGGTGGTGCATGCCTGTAATCCCAGCTACTTGGGAGGCTGAGACAGGAGAATCTCTTGAACAACCCGGGAGGTGGAGGTTGCAGTGAGCTGAGATCGAGCTGCTGCACTCTAGCCTGGGTGACAGAGATGAGACTCCGTCTCAGGGAAAAAAAAAAAAAAAGAAATCTTTGTCTCTGGGTCATGAAGATATCCTTCTATTTATTATCTTGTAGAAGCTTTATTATTCTATCTTTCATATTTAGGTTTATGATTCATCTGGAATTGATTTTTTTGTGTGTGGATTTGGTAGGGGTTAAGGTTCATTTTTTTTCCCATATGAATATACTGTTTCCCATATGAATATACTGTTGACTCAACAACCTTAATGCAAAAAAAAGAAAAAAAAATCCTTTATTTGCTGCATTGCAGTGGCATCTTTGTCCAATCAAATCACCGTATAAGTGGGTCTGTTTCTAGACTGCATGGTTTTGGCTGAACTTGTAGCAAGAGATAACTGAAGTTATTTATCCAAAGTAGATTAAGTCACATAAAACCTGAAGAAACTAAGGAATGAGAAAGGAAAGTTGGTGTATAAATAGTATGTGAATGTGTGCGTGTGTGTGCATATCCGTGTGCATATTTGTACAAGTATGTATCTGTGTGAATGTATGTAGATCTATGTATCTAAATATTTTCTTAGCATCTCTTTGGCCACCACAGCTTTTCTCCTGAGTGTTTGAGTGCATAAGTGTATGTGAGCATGCACAAGTATCTTTGTGTATTTGAATATCTTAGCAACCTTAGCAAATGCACGAGATTGTATTTGATCTTGTTAGCATCCACCTGCATGTACCTCTGTGTAGCCAGAAGGGTTTTCTCCTTTGCCTCATTTAGTACCCAGGGCAAAAGCCTAATGTATTTTACTGAGAGAGTAGTTAAATAAGTCTGTTTCTCTAATATACATTTTAGTTGAAGGAATTAGGAAGTGGCATCATAGATGCTCCAACACTAAGCTGGCCACGCTTCCTGTGTTAAACATGACACATCTGAGGCCCTGGAAGAGGAAGTGATTTGCCCAATGTCACACAATGAGTTACTGCCAGAGTGAAGTCAAAAACTAGTCTCTGGACGTTCAAGCAAGGTCTTTTTCTAGTCCCAAACGGCCTTTTGTGGTGGTCCAGGGACTGCCAGGAGCAGTCATGGAACCGCATCATTTACAGAAGGTCTGATCTTTGAGTCAGAGTCACAGAAGAATTGAGAATAGCTGTTGGGCCTTGAGTTGCTGAACTGAGATGACATGTGGACATGGGATGACAAGGCTTCTGAAGCAGAAGCTGGGGGACCCGGAACTGCTGGACTAGCACCTGGGGGGGTTCTGGTTTCAAACAGCCCTATTAGTACAGAGTCTGGAGGCCACCTCTGACCAGCTAGGTCACCTGACACTGTTCCCTGCAGTAGGGGATGATGCAATCTTTGGGTTTTGCCTTTTGGAGGAAACTTAAGAAACCTTGGGAACCTTATGTGAGGACTCAACCTGAGGCTGGAATAGCTGGGATAACAGACTTTTAGGCAGAGGAAGTGACATAAAAAAGTTGAAAAGTCTGGCTGGGCATGATAGCTCACGCCTGTAATCCCAGCACTTTGGGAGGCCAAGGTGGCAGATCACCTGAGGTC